TGTTCAAAGCCTGTAAGCAGTACCATCAATTATATAATAGGTGCAAGGAAAAACAAAAAGTTGAACCAGACCAGTGACTTCCAACCTGGACGTCTCTGCCATCTGTGGGGTTCGGGTCACAAAAGGTTCTGCAAATATCTGATCACATCTTTTCATGGGACAACACTGAAGAAGTGACGCTTTGCTACCATGTAAACACCTTAAATCTACCGTCCCCTCAAAACAACTCAACACAGCCATTCATGTCTAAACCGCTGGCAGAAAACCTTCATACACCCCGAAGTGAAGATGTCCAAATTGGGCCCAATTAGCCGTTTTCCCTCCCCGGTGTCATGTGACTCGTTAGTGTTACAAGGTCTCAGGTGTGAATGGGGAGCAGGTGTGTTAAGTTTGGTGTCATCGCTCCCACACTGTCTCATGCTGGTCACTGGACGGTGAACATGGCACCTCATGGTGAAGAACTGCTGGAGGATCTGAAAAAAAGAATTGCTGCTCTACATAAAGGTGGCCTGACTCACTTTTGTGACACACTGTATATATGAAAGACAAATATGAATTTAAAAATACAGAACTAGAACTAAGTAGAGTCAATATTGAAACCAAAAGTGTAATGAATAATTGGTTGAAATGCCAGCTAAAGGTAATGGACAACAATAGTTAAGATTTTAGCTAAAGGTAATGGACAGTGGTTGAATTGTTAGCTGTAGGCAATGGATAGTGTTATAAGATAAGTATTGTAAGGAGCGTAATTGATAAATAGTTGAAATCGTTTGCCGTATGTCATTGATAAACAGTTTAAAAAAATTAAAAAGCTAGCTTAAGGTGATGTATAAGAGGTTGAAACATCCAAATATTCTGTAACTCCAGGCAGTACAACTACAAACTGAAACCACCCCAAAAACTGAATTGGAAAATATATATTAATATATCCACACTTCTAAAATTAATACTGTTAAATAAAGTCTAGTTTAAAATAAGCTCAGACGAGCATGAGTTGAGTCAGTGATGGAATATTCCTGACAGGGCTATGGAGGTACATCACACACAAAATGTTGGGAACTGCTGACTTGAGCTGCTCCCTTTATTCATATTCTGGGATTTAAACCAAAATAATAATTTAAAAAAATCTGTTCTCCTGCTACGACTAATACATAGCTTCTTTCATTCAAGACAAATGTGTTTACCACTCCCTATAAGCTCACACACGCACGCAACTGTAAGACAAAAGACACATATCCTCTGCATGTGACATCCATCTTGAGTCAGGCTGAGCTCCATATCCTCCCCATGATCCCTCAGCCAGAGAGGAAACATCCTCTGGCTGCAGCGAGGGGAAGCTGGCCTCACTGTGACTCTCCGCTCGGCAACAGGTAACACCCCAACCTTAAAGCTCCAATGCTCGAAACCGCCAGTCACTGCTTTGTCGATCCGTGTGTTAGGAAGTACAGATTTGTCTGTCAGGTAAGAACTCCCACTGAAAGACCAGAGCTTTGTCCTTATATGCATGTAGGAGGGAGATTTGTGATTTACTTACTCGTGTTTCTGATAAGAGTAAAGATGTCTGACAGTCGTGTTTTCGCTCCACAGGCCTCTCTGGGATGGTCCTCTGCCTGACCTGAAGACTTGAGGGAAACAGTGTAATATCTGGGCAGAGCTGAAGAGGAATAGCAGGCACAACACAAGACGGCACCACTCTGAGAGAAAGTAAAGGACAGCGCAGAGGAAAGAGGAACCATGATGGAACTGAAGATCCAGCTGATCCCAACGGGGGAAATTATCCTTCCTCCGGGGAAGAACGGAGAAAACTACTGCCACAACTGCAAGGTTAGTTCTCACACTGTGACCACGTCTGAGGCCAGATCTGGAGTCAGATCTTTCCACTCATCCTTCATTCCACTGGGTTTCATGCAGTCCAGTGGGTAGAAACTGATGCTGACACAGCTGAGGTTACTGAGTTCGTCTCCAACAGGGCTGATGCTGAGAAACATTTACATATTTGAAGAACTGTAAATTGCTTGAGAGTTTACCGTCTGTCAAGTAAACTGCATTGATAAATCCAAAAATCTGTGGTTAGCAAATAAGTTTAAATCCTGTTTGGCCCTGAGCAGTGCTCTCAGAATTAGAAAAGGCATTACTCATATTTAATTATACATGTCAAGATGGACTCTGTAGTTTGTGCAAATGCTGCAGACGTCTGTTCTGTGTAACAGAACAAGAATCGTGCTGACAAGGGATCATTCAGGCCAATAAGAACCTTCTTTAACCTCAGTCAGAGTTCACAGTGCTTTAAGGATCAGTTTGACATTCAGAGTGTTTACCTGGAAGCATCCTGAGTGATGCACAGAGTATGTTTGGATCCACGATACTCTACATATACTGTAAACACAGAGTACAGTGTTGTTTGTCTTTGCTGGGTGTCCTTATTCCCACTGGTGAGTGAACAAACAGAAAGATGTTGCCGGTGTAGCTGCAACTGGATGTCACTGCAGAAACATCCAAAACAGGATTATCTGATTCACTGCCAGTCCGACATCGTTCATCACAGAGATGCCATTTTGGGTCAATGTTTGCGATGGAGCATCTGTTAAAGAGGAACCAGAGATCCTGATTCCTGACCCAACCTTAGCCTCATTAGACCAAGCTGCAGTCACACAGGCCAGGCGCTATTGTAAATCTGTTGTCATCAGTTCCATAATATCAAAAATGAAAAACTGATGTACGATCAGAGATTTACCACCAGCCTCTGCATCCCCTCAGCTCAGCAGTGTGTTGTAGCATCTTTGAACTCGTCGTGCTGTCAGGCCCACAGCGTTAGACTGACTCCCACAGCTCGTATCAGTTCCAGCAGCAGCCACATGTTTTTGGCAAAATAAAAGTTTGTACAACATCTATTGTACGCTGCCTGCTCAGCTCAGAGCTTCAGTCAGCAAGGCTGGTGTCCAGCTGCTGACCACAGTGGAGTCATTTAACAGAAGCTGGTGAAGACCAAAAGCTGAGCAACAAGAGGATGAATGGTGGCCAGAGACACTAAGCATTGCTCCACATCTGCTAATGAGCAAATACGCAACTGACTGCTGACAGGCTCCGTTTAAAAGGTAATGATGTCAGTGTTGTGTGCACCTTGTTAGCGCTGCCCCCATGTGGCAAAAAACCACACACACACACATTTGACCAAAGTAAGAGACACTAGCATTACTATAACTAGTATTTTAAACATCTAAATAATTTAAGATCACAAAATACATTCAGACAAAAGTGTTGCACCAAAAAAGGACAGAAGAGCTTTTTGTCAGAAGCTCTGCTGCTGGAGGACCTGGTTTCAGAGACACTTTGTAAAGTCTAACAAAATAAACCTGATGATGATCAGCAGTGTTCTTGGAGACTGCATCTATTTCTAACAGAAGGTCTATCAGCTGGGGACTGTGGTGAGACGACGCCCTCACACAGACTGGAGCACCTCTCAGTTAGAACTACACTGATTCTTGTGTGAGTAAACATCAGTGTCCTGCTGGGATCTTCTTGTCTGAGCGTGTAGTGCAGCTCTAATGATGTTTCCATGCAGGAAGAGAGACATCTGTTGCTGTCGCACTCTGAGGCATGTGTTGCGTACTGTATGTGTTGATCGTATGTAGGAGGGTCGTAATGAAGACAGCTGATGGCCAGTACCTACATATGCACAGTATCTAAGGAATGAAAGGAGTGAGCGTTTTGGTAGAAGGTACCCTTTGGTACAGTTCAAGCATGGGCTGACACAGGCTTTGGATTTATAGTGAAAGGAATGTGGCGTGGCTAATGTAGCCGCTGTGTGCTGCTTGGAGATGATTGGGGAGGTGTGGAATGTACTGTAGCCGGGATGGGAGGAAACGACAAAGACATTCCAGCTCTCAGCTTCATTTGTTCCCCTTACCACATTCCTCTCAGGTCAGAGCGCCTGCTGTCCCTAGATGTGTGTGAAAGGTGTGTGTTACAGTCCCTGAGCCTTGGCATCAAACTCTGCAGCCTATTTATGCCGACTGGATTGCTCGGGACAGTCCTGAAGTCCATAATTTAGTTTCCAGATATACTTCTGACAAGTTCTGTTGGACCTTTTTTCTGCATTTCAGCAGTTATTTCAATGACAAACTGAAGCGGTGTAAAGTTTTGTGAGGTTGAACCTGGAAAATATGATGCGAGCTGAGACTGAAGCAAATATTTGACACTGTTTGCTGATTTTGGCTCCAAGTCGTGGGTTGGAGGAGAAACAGTCAGCGGGTCTGGAGGTGTGGGGTCAGCGTCACCAGCCTCTCCCTCCAGCACAGTCTGTTTAACACTGCCTTGTCAACAGGATGCAACCTGTGTGTGTGTGTGTGTGTGTGTGTGTGTGTGTGTGTGTGTGGCTCCATGCTGTAGCGACCGCTCCCCCCTCTGGCAGTGCAGCCATACTACAGTCCAGCTGGAGCGGTGACACCACCTGTCCAGCTGGCTGAGGTCACCTTCACATAAGCGCATGTTGCATAAGCGCAGTAATACCTGGAAGGACACTCAGGCTGCTCCAGGTGCTGACATTTACTTTGTCATATGAGGAACGTGTCCCGCTGTCATCACCGGGTCATCACTTCGGTGTTTTGGGGGATTTTTAGCAAAAAAAAAGTTGGTATAAGCTGTGATTTTTATTTTTTAACTTTTACATTATTTTAAACACGGAACATCTTCGATACTAACCAACACAAATAATCAATAAATAGTTGGAGAACTGTGATATTGATCCATCAGTAATGCACAAAATATGAACAATTAAAAAGAGCTTCAGGGAAGTTTATTTTGTGAGTTGTGGCTGAAGCTTTCCATGGAGGAGGAGGCTGGCCGGTCCTGCT